CAGGGAAACAGGGTAATTTCTCATAATAATATGAAGGGAACAGTGATTATAATATATGCTGTGTCTAACTATATCTGTCTGATTCTTTTTCCCCTCCAGAACTTTGGAAAAAAACAAAAAGAAAGGGAAGATATTTTAAACATATTTACAGACCACCAGTTATGTATTAATTGCCAATATTCCAGCCTTGAACATCAGTGTGTCTTGGACCTGTTTGACCAATCTTCCACCAGTTGTATCCATATGTTTGGATTTAACAGCATGACAAATGTTTATGTTGATTTTGATAACAGTTGAGAATGTCTTGAATTTTTTGGGATGTTATAAACTTAGGAAAACAGCTCTAAGTACTGTTTCTTTAAACAAAGTACAAAAAAGAACAAATCATTTTAATGTAAAAGAACAGTTTACAGTTGTGCAATCATATTCTGGTGGTTTGATTTGTTTACAGAATATTCCAATATACAAGGACTTGGGAAGGAAGGATACATTGCCATAATATAATATGAACTATGCTCCTATTAAAAATTCAATTCAGTGCATCATATATAATAAGGTAATTTAGTTTAACACAGTTGACTCTATTTTTGACACTTCCATTGTTTTTAAAAGTAGACATGGAAAGACAAACATATAGGCTTATGGGATACCTAAAAGCTTTTCATAACAATCATTTTTTTGTTTGGAATTGATTACATTTATGCTGTTCTCGTGTAGTAATTGCTTTAGTTCAATTAATTTCATTACTGCTTCATTTTTGTAATAACATATAATTTAGATATATTATCATATATTGGCCCTGCTAAATAAAATGTAGTTTCTTTCATATGATAGGGACCAGTGAACAAAACCTTTCGTTTAATTTTTCTTTTACATTTTTATGGTAAGTAGCAGGAAAATGGATTTATAAGTCATTTCTAGAAAACAGTGTGATTTAACTACTTACCTGTTTCTACCTGTGTGCAGCCAGTCTTCTAGAAATGAGGATCATGGCCTTTTGAGAAAAGTCAACATTTTACATTTAGCTGTATTCATATACTGCATTTCTGTATTTTTCTTTGTATTGTGAAAAATCACAAAATAAACAATGTTGTGATGTAATATACTTGAGTATGAAGGATTATGTTGAAAAACCATATCCTTAAATAAAGTCTTCTGCTAAATTTAAATGCAATTATTTTAAATACCAGTACTATTTTACCTGGCATTTATCCACTATTGACTAGAAAATGCAGTCTACCTTGTAGCCAATTGTTAAATCTCAAGGTAAACTTTTTCTATATCCACTTTTATATAAGTCAGTGTACTAAGTGATTATTGCCAAGTAATTATTGATGAAATTACTCCATTCGGCATCATTCTGGAAACAATGTTAAAGGAATAACTGAAATAACAGAACAACAGAGTTGAAAGGGACCTTGGGGGTCTTCTAGTTCAACCCCCTGCTCAGGAAACCCAATACCATTTCAGACAAATGGTTGTCCAATCTCTTCTTAAAAACTTCCAGTGTTGGAGCACCCGCAACTTCTGGAGGCAAGAATTACAAATATATCTTAAAATATAACAGAAACATCTTATGTTAGAGGGTCCAGATATCTTTTTTTATATAGTTGGGGCTACATGTGTACAAAATATTTTTATGAGGATGACAGTGCACAGGATATTACATTTTCAGATGGTATTGCAGGATTTTTTTTCTTCTTTGAGGAACAAAATGATATAGAACCATTATGCCAATTACAAGTTACTTAATGCATTTTCTGTTAAAAATAGACATACAAACATGCTGTTGTTTAATATTCAGGGCCTAAATGTGGTCTGCAGAACATTAGCATAACCATCATATGGTTATGAC